ATCCTAAAAAAAACACTCATTGTTGATGATTGTTGAGGAAGAATGTATATAAATGCATTTATTGAAGCTCAGATGAGACAACAAAATAAAACAAATATATTGGTGTACTTCGGTGTTTTCACCACTAGGATCGCCAGAAAACCTGTGTCAGTTTGCGCAACCCGGAAGTTGTTGCAGATCACTGATGTGTCGTTTTGAAGTGATCCACGTTAGAGATGTGTCCGTCTCCGTGAGCTCACATTGTGTTGTTTTTGTAGCGTTTACGACTCCGGACGCGCCTCTCGCTGTAGCTCCGCGGAAGGACAACACGGACCAGCGCGGGACGGGAGATGTCCGGTCTTCCGGGCCGGAGTCTCCATAGACACCTGAGGGACGATAAGCTTTGAGGATTGCAAGCGAGGATGAACGAAAGCAGGTACGCACTGTTACGGGCAACCTCAGACTGGTCGCTGGGAGCAATACCGTTACGCTACGTGTGGGTTTACGTCTGCAATGGTTGTTTAGGTCACATTAAGTTGTTTCCTCTCCCAGGAGTCGGAGGCATTGGCTGAAGATGTGGAGGATGATGCTCAGCCCTCTACCTCTGCACAGACCCGTCAATTGGAAAGGTTTTGGTGTTGTTGTGGTGTGTTGTTGTGTTTGTTGTGCTGTTCGGTGTGGGGTTGGGTTCCATTGTGCAGTTTCAGGGTCCTGGTATTCTGCATGCAATATAAGTGCCTAATGTTGTTATACTTTATCTGCTTCCTTGCTTCTACATAGGCGAGCTGTTCTATCTGTGTATTAACCAGAGCTGCACAATATGGTCAGGTGCAATGTCCCAATCACAGAGGCTGCAGTGTTTTATATATAAGGTGAAGTGTGTGATGAAGCAGCATTAGTTCCAGGACTGTAGTGCTGCACAGATGCTCTTGTTCTACAGATGTAAGTGTGTTTGTTACAGACTCCAACAACTCTGCACATGTGGCGAAGTAATAAAGTAGATAACTGGCTCTGTCCGCCAATAACGTACAGCCAAAAATGTACATTTTAATTTATAAAGCACATTTAAACACAGTATTGTGGAGCAGCCTTGTGTATAACCTGGAACTGAAGCGATTGATTGATTAGTTAATTGACTTCATAGCAAAACATTTTGATAATCATTTAGTTTCTTTGTCATATATCATTTTAAACCGAGTATCACTGTTTTCAGACTCTGGGGACAAAACAAACCATATATATTGAATATTGACTTGACTCTGAGACAACATGATGGGCACTTTTCACTGTTTTCTGACATTTTGTAGACCAAATTAATCAATTAAACAATAAACTAATTAGCAGATTAACTGATAATGTAAGTAATCATTAGTTGCAGCCCTAATGTAGCCTGAGAGGCAAAACCCAGGGAGAAACCTGACACAACTGTGGTCTCCTCTCAGAGGAGGGAGTCAGCCCCGGGGTCCAGCTGGCCTTCGCCTCCATGCTGGGAGAAACACCAGAACCACCGTCCTCAGACGATGAGGAGGAAGAGGACAGCTTGAGCTATGTTGATGATGAAGATGATGAGGATTACAAGATGGAGGAAGAGGAGGGAGGAAAGGTGGAGGTGGAGGAGACACAGAAGAGCCAGCGGCGAGGGGGGAAAGGAGGGAGAGGGAGAGGGAAGGGTCGCAGGAGGAGGAGGAGGATGAGGAGGATCCGACGGTCGGAGATGTGTTCGCGCTGGAGATGGAGCTGAACCGAGAAAACAAGAAGATGATGAAGGTGAGGAGGAGGACGAGGAGGGAAGAGTGTGTAAGTGTGTTTTTCTCTCTTAATGTGTGAGCTTATGACTTTGTGTGTGTGTGTGTGTGTGTCCAGGAGCGGCGTCATCGCAGCAAGCTGCCCCGAGCTCTGAGAGGCTTGATGGGAGAAGCCAACATCCGCTACGCCAGAGGAGAGAAAGAGGACGCCATCTTGATGTGTATGGAGATCATCAGACAGGGTACGAAACAACCTGTGTGTGTGTGTGTGTGTGTGTTAGCTGTAGCACTAGACTCTAAACTCTCTCTCTCTCGCAGCTCCTCTGGCCTACGAACCGTTCTCCACGCTGGCTATGATCTACGAGGATGATGAAGAACGGGAGAAAGCGCTGCAGTTTGGTTTGATCGCCGCCCACCTGAACCCCTCCGACTGCGAGGAGTGGATCAGACTGGCAGAAATGTCTCTGGAGCAGGACAACATCCGACAGGCCATCGTCTGCTACACGAAGGGTCAGTGCAAAGGGTTCATAATGAATAATAGTTGTCAGTTGCGGCCCTATCATCAGTATTAACAGGCGCCACTCCCCCCTTGTCGCCTGCTTCCTCAGCCATTAAGTACGACCCCACCAACGTGCGTTACCTGTGGGAGCGCTCCAGCCTCCACATGCGCCTGGGCGAGCACAAACATTGCATGGACGGCTACCGCAGGATCCTGTCACTGCTGCCGATGGAGGACGGAGAGCACTTCATGCAGCTGTCCAAGGACATGGCCAAGTACGGGACACACACTGACACACACATTCACCCACAGAGCCGAACGCGTTTCCTGTCTGTAGGACTCACATCTGTGTGTGTGTGTGTGTGTCTCCTGTTTAGGAGTTACTATGAGAGCAGTGACTTGCCCTCAGCTCTGGGTGTTATAGAGGACGCTCTGGCGCGACACCCCAGCCTGGTCAGCGATGACTTCATCAACATGGCAGCTGAGCTCTTCCTCGCCAACCGCCAGTACGAGAAGGCCCTGCAGGTGCAGTGGACTAACAGCTTTCCTGTGTCATTTAAATACCGAGCAAATAAAAGGTGTATTTTGTCTAAATGAATGGTTATACTTTGTGTGTTTTCTAAGGTCTTGGTCCAGTTTGCAGCTGTAGTTTTGGTCAGAGATGAAATCAAATCTGACTTGGAGGAACCAACACAAGAAGAGAAAGCGGAAGAGAAGATGACTGAGGAGCAGGAGAAGAGTAATGAAGAAAGTACAAAGTCGAAGAGCGTAGAGGAAACGGCAAAAGAGGAGAAGGGTGAGTCTTTTTTTTGACTGATGTCACATGTTTGTGCTTTGTTTTATTACATGTCTAAATATATTTGTCTGTTAATCCCACCGTCTGTTTCACCGGAAGCAGAAATATGAGGGAGTGTTTTTATACTGCGGCGCACTTCAGCCTGTAACACAAAGTGAGGTAAATGGGTTAGCCGGCTATCTTTGGGCTTCACGTCAGTTTTCTGGCATCATGAAGCTGGTCCACTTTTACCAGGGGTAGATCACCGTGGTAACCGAGGCTGAACAACTACCCTGTTACGCGGGAGGATCAGAACAAAGCCTAAAGCATCCTGAGTTCACAATGAAGTGATGAATAATGTAGGCCAATAAAGTGTTCACTCTGGGTTTAAAACAGAATATAACAAACAGAGTTGTTGAATAGATAAAATAAATAAATTACCACACTAATGAATGACAATTTTAGCTGCACTTTAATCGCACTTATGTTTCTTTCACTCCTGACATGATTCCTTCAGTGTATAAATCTTTTACAGACTTATTCCGTCCCTGCAGCTCAGAATAACTGAGTATTAAATCGTTTTAGACTCTGCGATACAATTGTAAATAAAAAGTAACCTTTCTTTTCTTCAGAACACTTCATGTTTAACTGTAAATAAGTGCCACTTGCAACAGTTTGTTTATCAAAAGGAAAAAGAACATACATACTACCGCATATTTAATAATTATACTGATTTAGACTTTCAATACTTGGAAATTATTTTCTACGTGTATATTTCCCCTTGCAGAGTAAAGGTTTTTGCTGTTACAATAAGGGACTGTATGAACATTATTTGGTTAGAGTTATTAATATTTAATTGCGATTCTTGTTAGGACTTATTTGATCATATTAAGTACTCCACTCATGGTCCGAATTATGTTCATATGACAGTGCTCACAGCTAACAGAGCTTTATGATACCGGTTATCCAGGATCACTGAAGAATCAGTGAGTCCAATATAAGGTGGGTTACTAACCTAGGCCAGTTGGCCGTCTTTCTCACGGACAAAGACAGAGGGGCTGGAAATACTCTGTGGTATAATAAATTTGACATTTATATTGCCTTGAGGGATGTTTTAGAAGCGACTGTCTTTATTAAACCCAAGAGACATTTGTCTTTGAAAGCACTGACACTAAAACACGGCTGCTCATTCATTAGGTAACAGAAAATAATTCCTTTCGAAAGCTTAACCCAGGGAGGACAAGTTGACGTTTTGAACAGAAGTCAGCCAGTATGTCTATGCTGCGTTGTCTAACTGTCTTGTAATGTGTTGGCACCAATTAACCCAGTCAAATACAGAGTGCGTAACAGTGATTATTATTCTCCATCAGAACAATCTTTTGGTGTTCTTCTATTCAAGAGCTCAAACTGGCAGGAGGAACATCCCCTTCCTGTACGTCAATGTGGATTGCATAAGTTCAGTGAATCATATTTGTTCCAAAATGTCAACTTTTTAAGAACCAGCTTTGTTTTTAACTTTGAGGTATATTTCATTCAACTGGTTTAGAAAGGATATAGTCTCACACACTCGGAAAAAAAGTTTTCACGTTTGATCTTTTTGTCCAGTGACCTAAAAGATCTGCTGGGTTGATAAACTGGAACTGGTGTTAAAATAATATCAGAACTACTGTTAATTCCTATTTAATGGTCGATGGTGCTGAAAGCTGAGCTCAGAACAAGCGCAGAGAGATTTTTGGCATCAGTGGTAATCCTTAGGTCACAAACAGTCTTTACAAAAGCTGTTTCAGTACTGTGATGAGCTCTGAGGTCGGACTGGTATTATATTAATATATATCATTAGTAACAACAACTGGGGCCTAATAACAGATGAAGAACCAAGAGAGAACCGTTAACCATGTCATCAATATCATATATATCAGCTGCTAAATGGCAAAAACATATTTAGTTAGAAATAAATCTAAGTGAAGGGAATGAAAAACTGTAGTCATGTTATTGTCAAAGGTCCAGTGATTTGTTGTGTTATTGAAATGTAGCTTTCTAACAATCTTCACACCTTCGCTGTGAATTTTCTCACAATCCCACACTCCTCTCCACCACCAATTATAGCTGTTATTTTTAGAACATAGTAACGCTGATTGAGTGTGTTTATGTGTGTGTCCAGGGGAAATTAAGGATGTACAGGTACCAGACAGCGTCCCAGTGGACCTGAGGGCCAAGCTAATGGTCTGCCTCATACACCTGCATGTCTACACACCGCTGGAGGTAAACAAGACAAACACGGTTTTCATAGTAACAGTAAAAATATGACTTAAGCCAAAAATATACATTTCCAGCGGTGACTTTTAACTTTTTGGAGGCAATCAACACCTGTCTCCATCACTCACTCTGTACCCACCCACTCACAGGGACTGGTGTCATCGCTGATGGAGCAGAGTCCGGAGGAGATCGGTGACTTGTACCTGGATGTAGGAGAAGCCTACCTGGAGGAGGGCGAGTACATGTCCGCTCTGCCACTGCTGTCTGCCCTCGTCATATCCGAAAAGTACAACCTGGCTGTCGTCTGGCTCCGACATGCAGGTGGGACCAACAGGAAGAACGATAAAAGTGGTTAAAATATCTTAAAATGAGGATTTAGTAAAACACGCTGAGTGCTTTATATAAACTATAATAATACTACAGCTGTTGTGCATATTTTTCCATTTCATTAAGAGGATAAAACTATTTTTGGACGTGTTGCGTCTAAGCTCCAAGCCTTGTTTCCCGTTGACTGACATTTGAAAGCCGCTGTTGCTAGGGGACAGCATACATTAATACAAGAAGTTTTTCTGCCTACTTTCAACAAGCCCACATAGTGTTGTTTATCAGCCTTCAGCAGTTTAAGTTTGCAGTTTGTATTCCAATCAAATAGTGGAAGATGCTTAGCTTAGCTTCTAATATTTTGCCCACCCCATTTATATCCATGAGGGTAGACTAAATAACAGAAACAGCCTCCAAAATGCCCATACATTTGAATCAACATCTCTCTCAGAACATCTCAACAAAAGCTGAACATTATAACCCTCTTGAAGGTGGGATTTATTGCAGAAACACTAATAATACGAATAAACTGGAAAACTGGGTGTAGTGTGTGTACTTATTTCTTGAATTTTAATTTCAGTTAGACTTTAAAAGCTCCAGCTAGATAGTTCAAACACATTCAGACATAATCCTGCTCAGTCAGATTTGAGAGTTGAAACTGGAATATCCTATTAGTTGGATGTGAGGCATATCAGCAGTAGCAAGGATCCAAAAAAAACTTTGCAGCTAAGGTGCAAGACAGGATTTGAAATGACCCCTCAATTTGGCTCTGATTAGAGAAAATGAAAACCACTGTTACATAAAACGCCTTCATTCTCCCTCGCAGAGTGTCTGAAGGCGCTGGGCCACATGGAGGTGGCAGCAGAAAGCTACACTAAGGTGGTGGAGATGGCTCCGCAGCACCTGGAGGCCCGGCTCTCCCTGGCCACCCTGCAGCAGCAGCTGGGCCGGCCAGATCGCGCCCTCAAGGCCCTGGAGTCCATGTACGACAGTGAAACACTGGCACAGGACTCGTCAGCCGCACAAAAGGCAAGAGCATGTGTGTTTTTGTGTGGGTTAACTAGATTTTATCAGTTTTACAGGTTTTTTTTTATTTATTTGTCTCTCACTTTCCAGGAATATATCACTTTTTCTAGCTTCTTTTGCTCAACAATCACACTTACAGACGTACTTACAGTATGGAAGCACATTTCCAGCAAGAAAAGAGAGAATATGAAAACAAGTCTATGATACAGATAAGAATAAACCCAAATTATAGACAGACAATAATTAAAATGTAGTAAACTCCAAATTTTGACTTGAATTGACTACTTAATGTAGTATGTCAGAATTTGGACTTGGTTTATCATACTTTTCACTACGTATTTTATAATCTTGACTTAGTATCAGTATTGTTATTTTTATGATGCATAACCTACACAGGCATTTTGTTTTCCTGGTGAGAATGGGCTTGTGTATGTTGTCTGTATGTGTTTGTGTGTGCTCATATCGCTCCATATGCTGTGGTTGTAGGAATTAAAGCTGCTGCTGCACCGTTCCACACTGCTGAAGACGCAGGGACAAACACAGGACTACCTGGATGCTATGATCACTATGATCTCCATGCTACTGAAGGTAACACACACACATAAACACACCCACATGGTTTTGATATGTGGTTAAAGCTAATGTGGAGACATGTAGCAGACAGATTGTAGAGAGAAGGCCATTTGCATTTTTATTGTCTCTGTGTGTCTGACAAATGACTCAAATAATGTGTGTGTGTGTGTGTGTCTCCTAGGTGGCCATGCAGCGAGCTAAGGTGTGTGTGCGCACTGTAACCGTGTCAGGCGAGAATCACCTCAGGCTGGTGAAGGGCACAGACATGCTGCCAGAAATTGCTGACCATGAAGCTGCCTATCTGGACAACACTGGTATGGAAATCCATATATATGTGTGTGTGTGTGTTGGTTGTTTGCTTTAGGTCTTCATACCTGGTTACCTGGCTGATGCACAGAGCCTGTAGTTGGCAGGAGCAGAGCAGTTGGCCGGATATTGTTCACTGTCAGCACTTAATAACAGTTGCCATATGTGGAGAAAAAGCTGTTTATTGCCCTCTTAAAGGGCCGCGTTTGAAGCTTTGTATGTGTTAGCTCATTAACTACAAATAGTGTAAGCTATACTTTGCATTATTGTTGACAGTTTTCTAAAGCGTACCACATGTTTTCACATTGACTTGCTGCCTTCCAGGCTCGTAATGTTGTTACAGCATGAAATCAAACTGTAGTGAAGATTTTAGAGTCTGCGTTTAAAAGCCATGCCGTCATGAAGTTAAACTTGGAAGCATTGCATTTGAAAGAGCTTAAAGGTGCAGAGATATGTATCATAATGTACCAATTAGACTTTTACTCCTCCGATAATGGTACAGAAACAGATACAGACCCTGTAAACCCTCTGTGTGGTACTGATTGGGGTCATGTGTAAGTCAACATGAGGTTTTGGAAACTGTTGCTGTAACTGATGGCACAATGTGGTCCCTGTCCAGGTAAAACCAACGTGCTGTCCAAAGAGGACTGGTGGCAGCTGCTGGTGAGCTGCGTCCGGACTCTGTGTGAGGTGAAGCGCTATGAGGAGGCCGAGCTGCTGGTGGAGTCCGCCATGGAGTTCTACTCCTTTTACGACAACAAGCCCAGGAGGAAGGAGCTGGAGTTCTTCGGCCTGTCCGCCACCATCCTGGACCACAACCACTACAAGGCCTACAACTACATCAGGTAGAGGAACAAGAAGTTGTTATCTTGTATGGCTTCTTTTGGGTTTTTTGTGAAGTATAAATTGTCTTCTGTTTGTTTTTCCTCTTCTCAACAGATTGATGCTGATGGAAAATGTGCATCTGCCTCAGCTTTGGAATATTTTCAACCAGGTGTGCTTCTGTCTCTTTGTGTCTTGTATCTCTGTCATTAAGCTTAAATAAAGCTTTATGGATGGATGGATCTATAGATGTAAATAAGCGTCTGAGATGTTTGTTTTCTTCCCCTCAGCTCACGATAACCTCCCAGCACCAGCGCCACCATCGCTTCTGTCTGCGTCTGCTGTTAAAACACCCTGACAACCACGCCTTGTGTGTCCTCTGCGGACACAACGCCATGGTGTCGGGAAGCTTCAAACATGCTCTGGGTACAAAACATACACAGACCACTACTGACCTCACTGCTCGTCCTGCATATCTTAGCTAATAAAGTAGTGAACGGCTTTGAAAAGAGCTGTTTTGCAGCATCCTTATCATGATGTTCACTTCTGCTCTTTGTCTACTTGTTGCCCTGACAACAGCTTTCTTATTACCTCATCCAGCTTGCAGCTGTATTACAATGCAAAAAAAGTACTTAGACAAAAAGGTAGTGAAACTTTCATTTTTGGTTGATTTTGGCAGCCCCCGTGGACAAAAGTGGTAGTGTTTCCACCTCCTCGTTCAAGGAGAATCCGGCTGAATCCGACCCGGTGGCAGACATTAAGAATAACTATATAGAAATAGCCAATCTTCTCGATGATTATGTAGGTCATATGGAGGCATCAGTATTAAATTAAGACTGTTTTTCATAACCAGTTAAAAACTCTATAGACTATTTCATTTCAATCAAGTACATTTTTCCTGTTCATAAAATTCAAAATTCCTTCAATGAGCATGTCCACTTTTATGATCTTATTATTTTTTCTACAGTCAGTCAGTTTGAGATGAGAAAATATTTGTCCATCAGTTTCCATCAGTAATAATCACAATAAACAGTAATAAACACATTTTCAAACTGTTGTGTCTTTAGGTCAGTATGTTCAGGCCTTCCAGACTCACCCCAAAAACCCTCTCCACAGCCTGTGTGTGGGTCTCACCTTCTTCCACATGGCAGGTCAGAAGTATGTAGCCAAACGACATACGCTGGTGCTGCAGGTACAGTGTTTTTGTATCGTACACCTTGTTTTAGCTTTAGAGTTTCCTCCCCTTCTCTGTTCTTCCTGAATAAACAGTACGCGTGTTTTCAGGGTTTCTCCTTCCTGTGGCGTTACGTGGAGCTGCGTGGAGTGTGTCAGGAGAGCATGTACAACCTGGGCAGAGCGCTGCACCAGATGGGCCTCACACATTTGGCCATACATTACTACCAGAAGGCGCTTACACTGCCTGCACAGAAACTGGAGGTGTGTATACATGCAACAACCGTTTCTTCGTGTTATCGAACCGCACTACAGTGTTTGAGCGCTCAGCCTGCTGCATCATAGTGAAGTTAAATTTAGAAACATCTCACTTTTATTTAGGACACCGATGAATGGACCTCAATAAGGCAGCCTTAAAAGATCTTTTCCTCTTTTTGTCTGTCCCTCTCTCCATCCTTTCACCACTCCTCCCTGCAGGGTATCCCAGACGATCATGTGGATCTGAGGAGGGAGATCGCCTTCAACCTCTCCCTCATCTACCAGGCCAGTGGGAACATGGAGATGGCACGGCAGCTCATCGACACACACTGCATCGTTTGAAAGTGCACACAAAGGCCTCATCATCTGTGCCAGGGTTGTTGATTGTGAGACTCAGTTTAAGTCCCTGCAAGTGCCTTATAGAAATATGGAGGACAAAAAAATGACAAATTCATACATAAATAAATGCTGAAATAAATAAATATTTTCATTAACAAATAAACTCGGAAATGAATGCAAAAATAAGTAAATGCATACGTGAATAATACATTTCTGTTGGTTATTAATTAGCAAATATTTAAATTTTATGTATTTCTACTGTATTTATTACATTTATTCTGTATTTCAAGAAATTACATTTCTTTATGTATTTCTACTCCCCTATATTTATTTGTTTATGTAGGCTAATGAGGTAAACAGTACTTAAACTGCACTATAAAGCACAGTTAGTCACAGGATAGTTTAAGTAGAATTACTTTCAACTTGTGGTGTATAAAGCTGAGCTGACTGGTTCGCATGCTACTTATTGTTAGCTTGCTCAGATAACTCAACCCTGGTTTTTCTGACTGACCAATCGTGTTTTACAGTGAGGTTAGTAGCACCAACTTCATTAACAAACAAAAACAGAAAAAATAAATGAACGCAGAAATGTATTGAATAAACATGTATTTTTATTTCACAATTAATTTCCAACATGTATTTGTGTATTTTACTCTGCATTTAATCATTCATTTAACATTTAATTTATGTATTTATTATTTCATTTATTCATATTTCTCTATTTATTTCAGCATTTCTATCTGTATTTATTTGTGAACTCGTCATAACATGGACATTCATACGTCGTGTCAGTTGAGATGTAAATATACGCAATGTATATATACGACGGTGTGATTTAATATGTTTTTGTAGTATTTATACTTTTCCAGCTGGTGCTAAATGAATGTATACATTCTTTGTTATTATCACATCAACAAATAGACCTACATCATTTTCACTTTGAAATAGTAATTTATCTGTTTTTCGGACATAATTTTACTCCAGTTTCATGTCAGCAGATTTTGGATTTTCTTTTGTAGGATTCAATTTAGTTTGCATTATTTGTACATGTTTCTACAGTTCTGTTGTAAAAATTCAACATTTTCAAGCAGTAATGCTCTCGTAACCCATTTTGTAAAGACTTCTATTTTTTGGATGAAACAGTTTCAGTCTGTTTATATATTTTTAAATCATAAAGGTGAGTGTGATGTTGCTTTGTACTCTGGTGTGATTTTGTTTACAGTTATGTGACAAAAATATGGACGGACAGACTTTTCCTTTTGTTGTTGCAGGGATTAAGGCGGTGGGATTATTCGCCAGAGCCCTCCCTCTCTCCTAACCCAACCTTCTGCGTCTATCATGTTTCCTCCTCGGGTCACTGCACTCCATCTAGGCCAGGGGCGGGACTGGGGGGCAGAGCTTCGTTTGTGGGACCTTTTACCCAGTCACTGAAAAATATAATCAGTAATATTGTTCATAGAACCTTCCAAAACAAAGAATCAGAGCACTAGTTCACAATTCTTTTTAATATACCTAACTGTGTTTCTCAATGACGCCTAGTTCAATTCCAGGATGATGAATAATTAATTTAACTCCATAAACAACAGATACAAGTTATCCAATTCTGGATGTTTCATTCTGGTAAACCTGCCAATGACTTTGAAGAATATATGATGAGAAAAAAAAGTTTCTCTGACTTAAAGTCTGTGCACCAAAAATCTGTTTTCTTTTCATTTTTGCAGTAGCTTAGCTCCTGTAGACTGTACCATCAATCCTGCCAGCACTAATTCAAAACATATAATAAATCTAAATCCTAAATCAGAAATAATCAGCAACGTACATAACCTGCTCATGATATTAAACGGCAGGTGCACAGCCCATTACATTATATTAAATCCTACTTTTTTCATATTTTCTTACTTCAGTAAAAACAAACAGGAAAACATTTATTGTAAAAAAAAAAAAGTAAGTAGGTGTGATCTTATGGGCTCCTTAAGTAGGATGTAGTAGCATCTAGTGGTGTGGTTATAGATTGCAGCTCACTCGCTTCACCCTCTCTTCCTAAGCGTGAAAGAAAAACTTGGTGGTCGTGAAACATGCGAATAACACGAACAGCCTTATCTAGAGCCAGTTTTCGGTTTGTCTGTTCTGAGCTACCGTAGAAACATGGCGGCCTCAATGAAAGGTGACCTGCACGTCTGTAGATAAAATCATTCTAAGGTCACGAAAAACACAACGATTGTTATTTTCAGGTGATTATACACTGATGAAAACAAACCTAGGAATATTATATTCCATTTCTACCAATAGATCCTCCTCAATGTTACACTGGCATTATTATTATTTAATGGGGCCCCTTTTTGAGGCCCTGGGTCGGCCCCTGCCCCGCCCTTGGATGAGTTTTGATCCTGGGTTGCCCTCATTAAACTGCATCACTGCCTACATATGAAAAGTGTGATTAAAATAGTAATCCTCCTATGGTCTTTAATTGAAATCACTTCTGGTACATAAACAGATAAGGAACCTCCTTTGGCGACCCCTTGAAGGTCCCCGAACCCCATGTTGGGCGCCCGTTATCCACAAAGAGGGGGTGGCGGCTGGTGGGAGGTGTTAAATCAGTTATTTTGCTGCTGAGCTCCGCCAGTATGGACTCTCAAAACAAGGCCTGGCTTTAAAAATAAAAAGTTGCTAACCAGCACTTATGAGGTAAATATGTTGTTATAAGCAGAATGCGGTCGGTTTTATTTCTCTCCGGTATGGAAGAGCGTCATCACACCGGGAATAAAGTGCGTGAAGCGGCGGAAACGGGGCGGCGGATGTGAAGTGGTCCAGCCAAATAAATAAGATATGAACGCGTCTTTTCTTCCCAGCCTGGCAACATCGCGGGGAGGTCAACGACGCTGCGGATAGAAAGAGATGGCAACCATGATTTAGACACGGGAATAATAATTTAAAAAAAAAAAAACATTTGTAAAGGAGGGTTTCGCCTTTACCGGAGGTTTGGGAGTACCGAGACGCGGCGGCGCTGCGCCCGGGCTCTGGAGCCCCGGATCCCGCTTGGAAGCCGATGAAGTGCCGGTGGTGCCCGGGCCGTATGGAGGTCCGTCGTCCATGATTAAGCGACTTTGTCGTGGATTTTCTTGGCACGCAGAAGGGCTTGTAAACGACGTTTATATCGCCGTAGCAAAGGTAAGTGAGGTGTTTCACATGTATGTGTAATAATAGATTTATTTTTCTGCACCAGGAGGTTGCTTTGATGTGGATCTGGCAACCTGATGTGTCACCACCAAGCCTTTAATTGACGTTTTCTACAAGCGCAAATGGATTTCATCACATATTTTTCTTCACTCACCAGTCTGTCTGCTGCTCTGCCTCCGACTGGGCTGCTATTGTGAGCTGATGAAGTCATGCTTTGATAGGCTCCACTTGCAGCAACAGTGACAAATAAAGGCCAACAGCAAAGCCAAAATAAAATCTCTGTCCTGGGCAGCATCATGTGTTGCTTGCTGTCAAAGAGGCTTTAGGCAAAAAAGGGGGAAAGTCAGCCTACTCACACACAAACACACACACACTGTTGGAGAATGTGTGTAAATCAGATCAGAGCTGTGGTGTGCTCACACAATCAGATCAATTCCAAAATAACAGGACAGCTCATCTCCTATTTCCTCCTTAATAGCTTCATCTGACCATGATTGTAATCTGTGTATAATAAACTACAGTGTAGGCTGAGGTTAAATTTGGCAGGAAATTGATTGGCAGGTCCTTGGTGAGCTCTTCATTGTGTTTTGTCTGTGGCTGTCGATGAGGATGTGGTTTTTCTTGCAGATGTGTGTTTATCACTAAAAACAACCAGTCTGAAGCTTTGTCTCTACGGAACAAAGTAACATTTTAGTTTGGATGTGTACTCCAGCGTATGATCTATATATTCCTCCTCCACTCTGCTGTATCTTGGCATTGCACTACAATACAGGGGAGATTCTCAAGTGTATTAAGCCTATTTTTGACCACAAGGCCTATTGACCCGATATTTGAGACCACTTTCATTATCAGTGCACCCTGCCTCGTGCTTTTCCTCAAATTAAACTCCCTGATCTACATCCGAAAAGACCTTCTTTTTTTTTTTATTTGCTCTTGGATAACACTTGCAACCGTGTTGTGTAAGCAAACAAATCCCCCCATATGAAACTTTGTCACGCAGTTCAGTGTGTCGGTATGTGGTTGATGTTAAAGCTGCAATAGCCAGTTCTTGTGGAAAATAACCTTCAGTACTTAAAAGTGTGGCTACAGAACACAGGATCCATCCCTGATACGAGACTGTAGATTCATTCCCGTAACCCCCATAATAATGCTAGGCATTGATTTTGTTCTAAACACAGGAAGTGACCAGTCAAAATATAAAGTGGTGCTTAAGTGATTTGGCATTGCATTCCCATAAAGTTGGGGGACTCAGAAGAGACAGATTTTGAAAAAGAATGGTCAAAACTGAAGCAGCAAAGGCAGAGATATCCTGACTTTTAATCTGGGTGACACTCCTACGTTTCCCATAATGCAACCCAGTAATCTATTGACGGATTGCATTTGAACTAGATTTCCATTTCAACTGCTCAGAGCGTCAACTAAGTGAAGGCTGTAGTAACAATCTGTTTATTATTAGCACTTCTGTATTTGTTCCTTATTAAATCAGTCGTACACACATTACTGTCCAACACCTGTCTGTGGACATGTTTGTATGAGCAAAATTCCCCATAATGCATTGTTATCAGCTGGTATCGCTAACGGTGGCTGATGGCTAATCTGGCTAGAGCTCAGTTTTCTGAACTGTTGAACTGGGATGTGTTCAACTCGGGTGTGATGTCATTCCCAACTTCACATTTCTGTGAGAATAAACAGGATTTTTGACACATTTACAACACAATGGGCGAATGAGAGAAGAACGATAAGACACGGTGTAGCTCCACTGCTTTCAGCAACACAAACACAGTAAAAGGTAAAAGCATATGTTCCGCCCACTGTGTCGTAAATGTGTCAAAAATACCGCTGGGTTTATTCTCTCTAGAAATATGAAGGTATTTTTCAGGCGGAGGAAATGCAAGAAGGATCCATCTAACTGGTCGCATGTCAGTTAATGTTTGAAGTAACTGAATTCCTGATGTAATAAATGTAATAAATGTCACAAAAAGTTATAGTGAATGGATCATTTGTTAGTGGTAAGCAACAGGAATCCATGATGCATCCTGCATTAACTTATGTGTATCAAGTATATGATTTGTACCTAAACATACGCCCAGTCTTTGCCTCAGCCCCTGACCAGTAGCTGTTAGTGGAGCACTGTCATGTCTGTCATGTTGGTCTGCATAAGGTTAGAAATACAAGAATGCAGTGAAACAAAAACACACACAAACTGGCACAGAGGAATGTGACGGGTGTGTTGGGGACAGGAAGCTGTCGCCTCTGACGGGACCGCCTCATTGTTCTCCAATCACGCTAAAGCTATTTCAGGACTGTGTGTGTGTGTGTGTGTGTGTGTGTAAATGTGTGTGTCATAGTGGTCCTATCTCAGAAGTCTGCTTTTGTACAAACCAATACCAGAGTTTATACGAGCAAATTTGTCGTCCAGATCGAACAAACACCCAACCAGGGAAGTTAACTGTCTGTGTGTGTTTGTCCCCGCGGGCAGAGAAGTGAACCATCCCAACACCACAACGTTCTTTGAGCAAATAGGACGAATTTCTCTTCAGGGACTGGGTCAGCCGTCAATGTAGCTCCACTTTGTGATTTAAGTAGGCTGATATATTTTTTTCTTTGCATCTAAATCTCGCCTAGTGCAGCTTTTAAGCTCTGACACTTGCATAATTCAGTAACGTAGCCTTTTTCCTGCACAAGCACTGCTCCCACCTAGAGGAATATCAGCCGTATTTTGATTTCAGTGGAGAGTTTCGGACTCAGAGTGATGAAAATGATCCTCCTGTCGTGCCCACAAACATTTAGTTTTTATAGGAAACACTTGTGAATGTGCACGCTCTTCTACCCTTCGTTTCTTTGTCTCAGCGTAGGATGAAAGTAGTACCAAATCAAACACAGGTTTTGGGCGTATGTGCGTTACTTCCAGTGCAAACAGCCTGTGTGTGTAGCACCACCATCCCTGGCTGACAGTGTATTGATGTCAGTGCCTGGGTCTGTTTTCATGTTTCATCGGTTTTTTGTGTGTGTGTATTTAGTCACAAAGTCTCACCATTTATAAATAACCTGCAGACTTGAGGCTGCTGCTGGAGGAAAGCTTGCACTTTACTGTATCGCACACAGTACGCTTAAACACTTCAGGTACGCAGGCCCGGCTGGACAAGCTGGCAGAATGAGAGCTTGTTCATAGATAATTAAAAAGCATTTTTAATGGCAATAAATCATTTTTGTTAGATAAAAAAGTAAGTAGTAAGTTTTGACTTCTTTTATTGATTTTGATTTTCAGAAAGAAGACAACAGTGCCATATACAATCTTCTTCGTCATTATACTTTCTAGCCAACAAGACGTAAGAAGTGTGCTTCGTTAAAATTGGCTTATGCATTTGTAAAGTGTTTCCTTAAAGCTGCTCCGATCAGTATTTTTTATATTAACAATAGATCAGATTCCGATGTGCAACGTGAAAGTGAAACTCTAGGGAGTTCTTCAGCGTCTTGTAGCTCAGTCTCTTTGTTGTACGGCTCGTAAATTTCCCGTTTAGGTTCAGTTGTGTCGCTCTCATCTGCGTCATATCCAGGCAGCTGTTTTTCACCTAAACAGCTGTGATGAACCCTCTGTTCATCACCTGCTACCATACATGCTGAGTGCATAAATAGCCAATTGTTTGCTAACGCGATAGAAACAGCTTTATATAGGGATTATATGGTAATGCTGTGTTTCCAGCTTGTGCTGCCCTTATAAAACAATTAATGCAAGTCTAAACTATTAATGAATTATCAGGTGTTGCATCAGTTCATTTATTGTTCCAGGTTGAGCCTATTGTCGATGATAAGATAACAACATCAGGGAGTGTACCTTTTTAAGCTGATGGGGTAACCCCGCCACTGCAGCAGCTCACCTACAGCATTATAGCTTATGATCTCACACACTTTGATCAAAACCCTGCTCAGATGACCACACACACACACACACCCACACACACACACACACACACACACACACACACACTTAGTCTTAGAGGCATGGGGCAGTAGGGCAGTGATGAGTCAGCTCTGTGATACAGTCTACACACTCCATCAATCCACTCACTGTCTCCTCTATCTGTGTGTGTGTGAAAGTATTTGTGTCACGGGGTGCATGTGTAGGCAACTTTACCTGTGTGTGTGTGTGTGTGTGTGCTGATAGCACGGCGCCAGTGCCCCCCTCCCACCATCCACCTCCTCCTGCTGTACCGAGCTGCAGTCTGCTGAGGTGGAAATACAACATGACATTCTTCAGAAAGGGGGTTGGGAAATTGACGCAAACTAGAAGACAAGTGTGGAATCTCATGCTGTGTTCGTTTTCCTCAGATTGCAGATTTTTACAGCTCTGTGGTTAAGTAGTGGAAAAGTCTGCCGATATATTATATTATATTATGAGCTATTCAAAGCTACTTTCTGAGGGCCCCTGATAAACAGACACTGCCTACCATCCATCCGTCATACAACATCTGTGATTCAGTTACGTTTAAAGACTTCTGCAGCATAATTGCATCAGGAATATTTATCTGTTGCATTATGTCACACAAATGTGGAACAGAAATCCGTTTGTCCAGTGAAGTACCACAGGCCTAACTGATTCCCGGTACAACAATTTAGTGCTAATTCTATGTCCAAATGGAAGTTTTAAAATTGTGGTATTAATATTAAACTATTTTTACTTTATAACATATTTCATGATATAATATTTATATTGCAGTCCAGTAGGAAGTGACATTCAGTGTCATTTAGAAACTAATGTTGGCAAGCTATACTGGAGTACCAGCAGCACGGGTTTACCCAAATGTTAAACAGGGGCGGAAGTAACTAATTGCAACTACTCACGTTATTGTGATTAAGTCATTTATTGGATACTTGTACTTATACAAGCCTGTAATTTGACTCTTACTTAAGTTTGCATTACATTGGCTAATCTACTTTGCTTTTTTAAAGTCATTATTCGCTACTCAGTAGGCTTAGAATTTATGTCCAAACCTTTCATCTGCATTTTTGTATCCAATAAGCAACAAATTGACCCGAAACGCTGCCCATGTCAACCAGTTGAGCTGATCAGACTGAGAGCGCAAGCACTATGCAGGCCAATGAAAACCGTGGGGAGGAGAAAAATGCAGAACCAGGCATCGGTTTGGTTTGGTGAGGTGACCACACTCTCCAAACCACAGTGTAGGAGTTGGGAGTAATTTGCGAGCAATTTTGGGAAGACTTGGAGAAACAGAAATCAAATAGAGACAGATCAGGCCCTTGCTTTGCTGTTTGTTTGCATTGGGAATAGTTTATACTAATTATATGAGTTCTACGCATGGTTCAGAAACATTTTAAGGTTACCTTCAATAGACAAATTCCTGCTTTATCTGTAGATTTGATATCTACGGTGGATGTCAGGTCACATGGACTTTGAGAGGGCGTGTGAACCGATCGGTTGAGCTTTAGGTTGCAGTTGGTGTGAGCAGTGCAGAGTTTTATGTGCATGTCTAATGTGGAATTCACGGCTGTAAGACCCAGACTGACTGAGGTCAAAGGTCGTCTCTGTGAGTTGTGTGAGACGGGGAGCAGAGGGAGGAGTGTGGAGGAGAGGGGGTCATGTTAGGGGTGGAGAGGAGATATGGGGGAGGTTTTAGTAGAGGTCAGGTATTAATAGATTAGCCTTTATGTGTGACCTTGAATGTCAATGTAACTTAGATTGGAGTGGGCAGTTATAGAGAAATAAATGATCTCACTGCAGTGACAGATTTTACAAACTTACCTTGCAGCAAAGTCCTTTCATATTTTTCATTACTGTAACATATTTTAACCAATGGCTTCTAGTTCTAAGTTGTTTGTAGACAAAAGTGTCAGACTTGTAGAATCTGAATTGCACTAAAGCTGTTCTGGAGGCACGTAGTGGCCCAACTCTGACAAAAGTTGGATTCATGTGTTTTTTTTAATATATATATTTTGCACTGAGATTTGAGTTTCACCTAATTTCCATTTTATTCACACAGCAATCTGTTGAGTTTAAATGTGATGGACAGCTGGATGGAAACGTAGCAGCAGAGGCAGCCGGAGCTCCAGCTGCAGATTGAAGCCGTGTGGTAATGCAGCGGATTAGAGAACGCATTCTGTCAACAGTAAATCCCCCATTCTCTGTTTTAATCCTGCCGCTGGATCCAGGACACTTACCTCCCAAGAGCCTCACGTGCATTGTGTGTGTGCGTCTCTGATTAGTTTTATAAAGACACGAGGCAGCAGTGTATATGTGTGTGTGTGTGTGTGTGTGTGTGTGTGTGCAGCAGGGCTTTAGTTTGTGGAACTCTCAGGATGGGGTTTTTTTCTGAGAAGGAGAGAGTGAAGAGTGTCAGTGTTAGTACAAAGCCTGCAAACCTTCAGCATGATTTTAAGTTTGTGTGTGTGTGTGTGTGGCTTTACACTCTGCTATCAGCACCGTGCTTGGCACTGGCCCCTGCCCAGATCTATTTATAAAACTCAGTCCAGATGTGTGGGCGTGAATGTGTGCGTGTGTGTGAGAGAGCCTAGTTTATGAAGTATTTAATTTTAGTATCTCTCACATCATTGTGGGTAATAACAATGAATTCAGAGGTTGTTCCTCAGTAAAACCACAGAATTATTTGAAAAAAATAAGGAAACCGCAGTTTGACAGGATGTCGTACTTTCCAACTAAATTTCACTTTAACTTAACTTTTCTTCTAATTGTTGGATGTCACTGTAATGGTACTGGCAGGAAGAGCTTTTACTCTGGAAATGAGCAACATCCATGCATAAATTGGGAGTAATTGTATGTTTCTGTACCTACACTGGTTATCAGTCATGCCTCATCAAGACTATTTCCTGTAGTGTTTGTTTTATAGTCTGTTCCAGGTCCTGTGAAGAAGAGTTTCCATAGTGTTGTATATTCTCCATGGGAAAAGGAACGTCAGTCTGGAACTGTTGTGACAGAAATGTTTGGACAGGATTTGCTCTCATTATCCTCGCCATGAACAAAATGCGGATGTTCAAATGCAGCGAGGTCCACGTGGGAAATGTTGCTGAAATCGAGACAAACTTTTACTTTGTAACTCAAAGTGACTCCCACACTGTCCGTGTCAGTTTGCTTTTAAATGGATTTCTACACAGACTTCTGATAAGAAAAAATATATACATATTGTATTTGTCTGTCTATTTACCAGGTGAAATTACTTTTTTAAAGCCTGCTGGTGAATCTGAAGGCCAGCCACTGTTTTCAGTTCGGTCTCATTATGATGATGATTTTGATTGTATAGTTTAATTCAGAAGCACTTCTTCAGCAGCAAACAGCACACAGATGCAGTTAGTGAATAGCTGGTGAACGTAGTGGCACATCTAGCAGCTGAAGAGCCAGAACTTTTTCTCAGGAGTTGGTGTGAAGAGAAGAGTGAATATTCATTCGGTGGTCAGAAACTGGACTAATCATTGGCAACTTGAAATTCATCAATTCATTTATATATTACTTAGAGTGGCTAAAAAAGAGCTACTATTATTGATAGAAATATGGGAAACAGCCTTTTCTTTAACATTAACCAGACAGAACATAGCACAAGGAGAATAGAGTAGAACAAATAAAATATAAAGATCATTAAGAAAGATGATACATCAAAATAAGAATGAGATATAAAAATATAGAAAGGAGGAAAGGGGAATACGTTTAAAGTAAATGAGATGAATGGAGCCAGGTTTGGTGTGGCCTTCGTCCAGAAAGGCAGTGAAGGTAGATCAGATCTTTTTAATGTCATCAAATGTCTCTACAAATCGGATTCTCTCCAAATAGAGTATCAGATAAGTCATTAAGCCAGCGCCGTACTGAGGTGCGGGAGCAGAACAGTTATGAGGCCATAGGCAATAAACTGTCTTCGAGGCTTCCTGAATGTGTTCAGTGCCTCTGTTGTGCCGAGGATAATCAGCTTTGGGTCAGAATACTGAGGTCTTGATTGTTTTATTGGTTTTAGGACTTGCTGACACTGAATTAAACTGTGGCTGACTGGCTGCCACAGTTTCAAAGTTTACTTTACTTCTGTCAGTTACACATTTGTATCCATTGGATTCATGTTAAAATTGGATTTAGACATAACTGCCACTGACACTTTAGTTCAGTGGGAGACAATGTTTGCTGTCAGAAATTCCTGATTCTCAGATTGATCAAACACAGAAATAAAGGGAAATAAAATACACATTGTGATTTGTATTTGCTGTTTGTGTTATTAAAGAAGAAAGGCAAAATAACTGTATTTAATTATGCCACAGTGTATGTTCATATGTATGTATATGTACATATAGCATAAATCACAATGTGTATTGTATTCCCTTTTATTTCTGTGTTAGACATGGGCTATATTAGATTTTAAAAGCCAAAATGAAAACAAGTCAATTTTTCTTTCTCCTCTTCTTCAGTTATTTCCCCTACTCTCTCTCTTTCATGCAGTTTCCTGTATTTCTCTCTCTCCCTCTAGCTCTCTATCAGCAGCACATTGCACAGCTAATTTAGAAGCATTACACGAGGGGTATGGTATGCCTGTGTGTGCGTGCACATCCATTCAGTCTTATAATGGCAAGAAGGATGGAGGGAAGGAGAGGAAGGAGGTCTGACGTGACTGGTGCGGAAGCTGAGACATGGTTTGGCGTAATCACCTGTCACCACGGCAACCAAAGTCTGTGTGTGCGAGAGAGCGAGCGGTGGAGAAACTGAAAGAAAGGAGATGAAGAAGAGAGAAAATGAACAGGAGAGAGTGCGTGTGTTTTAAAAGGTCAACAGGATATGGTTTTATTTCTGCCTGTCCAGGAAGTGGAATTGAGCCTTTTCACCTCTGAGGTAGCCGCAGGTGGAGACATCTTTACACACTCATCGTGTGGCTCACATCAAGGCTTATCTTTGTGCTGTAAAGTTATTGTAGGAAGACATTTTGATATGCCACAGTAGAAAAAGCCCATTTGTAAATACAATAATAATGCCTGGATTCCACTTGGTTCCCTCTGTTTGAGGAGCCTGTTACAGTGCCATGTCCTCTGTTAACACCTGTGCTTTTCCTACTGTGACGAGTCAAAAGGTGTGATGGAAAAAAGGCTTTTTCCATGCTGTATCCTCACGCTGATCTCCTCATAAACGTTTTATTTTTTTATTTGATATCATTTGATATTATCAGAGTAAAAGTGACGATTTACCCTGCTGCACACAGAAGATACTGACCATCATCCCTCTTCTTATCCTCCTTTTCCCCATCACCTTTTTACTTCCTCTATCTGTCTCTCTCTCCTATAGGTCTCCAACCTCCCTTCACCCCTCTCCTCCCTGTGGATCATAGGAACGCCCCGTCATCACCCCCTCCTCCCCGGACAGACCAACGGAAGGATTCCCGGATTGCCTTTCAGCCCTGATTCCTTGTCTCTCTCTGCCCATCTTCCACCTCCATCACTTTCCTTTGTCATAATGGCTAGCTGAATGATTTATAAAGTACTGTAGTGCCCTCGAGCAAGGCATTGCTCTGCCGTTGACACGTTTGTCAATATGGTTGGGGGTCCGAGGGTGTTAAGAGGGATAAATCAGCAGCATCGACGTTCACAGTGTAAACGTAATATATGTGACTGATCTAAGAGA